GTACCCTCCCAGTCCCCCCAGTCTGCCACAGAGACACCCAGGACCCTCCAGCTGCCTCCAGCACCCTCACCAGAGCCACTCAGTATCCTCCCAGAGCATCCCAGTACCCACCAGAGCCCCCCCAATACCTCCCAATATCCCCAACACACTCCCAGACCACCCCCAAGATCCTCCAAAGCCCTCAAGGACCCTCCAAGCGCCCCTGGTACACCCTCAGAGCAGCCCCAAGCCCCAAGAACACCCCCCCTGAGCTCCCAAGGCCATCCCAGAACCTCCCAGTAACACTGCTGAACACCCAGTACACCCTAAAGCTCCTCAGGACCCCCAAGAGCTGCTCAAGACCCTCCCAGTGCCACCTGTACCCACCCAGTACCTGTGAGAACCCTCCCCGTGCCCCCAGTACCCTCCCAGAGCCCCCCAGTTTGTACGTGTTAAGTCAAAATATTTTTTTCCCTTCGTTGCGGGAGGCTCTTGGCCCATCAGCTCTCCGCTGGATGATGGTTTTGCTGAAGATCTGATGGTTTTGGGTCCCTTTCCAAGGACAGAGCTGGAGCTGGAGGTGCTCAGTGCTCTACGGAGATCCTCACGCTTGGAAAGGAGATGCGTTCAGTTTAAAAAGTTTTAAGGGTGAGCAACGCTTTGGCAAAAGGGTTTAAAAACCCCAACAATAACCTGTCTGGTTGGCTGCAAAGGCCAAAAATAGGCGGTAATTTTCCTGGGTGATGTGGGTATTCTCAAATATCACCTCACAGATGGAGACTTGTTCAATTCCCCCACCTCCCCCAAGGTGGCAGTGGCACCTCAGGCCAGCGCAGCGCCCAACCAAACATAAAAGTGATTAAGAGTTAAGTTTTTCACTGAAACAAACCATCAGATGGTTTCAAAGCCTATCGTAAATACATAAATGTAAAGAAAAAAGGTTGGTGAACTTGCAGTCCCAACCAAAAGTTTTCACATGAAAACCTTCTTCCTTCAGAATCGGTTTTCCCATCCCTGTCGGCAACGGGCGCCGTGTTCGGTGATGGGCTGCGATGTGTGGGTGCGATGGAGCTGAAGCAGCAGCGGCAGCAGTTCTATTTCAATCTCATCACCATGAGAACTTACTTCAACGTGTAAGTTGCCCCCTCCCCCCCCTCAGAGCAGCTACTTTCTCTGCCCACACTTTCGGCAGCGGTGCAAAGGTCCATATCCTCCATTCCCGAATCATAGACGTCATTTGGGGAGAAACCCCATTTGCGGAGAGGTTTGGTGAGAGGTGCGTACACGGGGCAGCGCTGCCAGGTGCGAATGTACCAGCTGGAATTCCCTCTGCCACCCACTCCTGCCTCCAGAGACCAAAGATCGGGTTTTTGGGCAGTGAAACTAATCTTTTATTTTTCAAAGAAATTCTGCAATTTCATCAACATCACGCAGCGATAAAATGTTGTCTGTGTCATCGTAGCGGTACTCAGTGCTGAACTGGAGCGAGGGAAACACGATCTCCGTTATAACTGTAGGTATCACAGTTTTACTCTGGAAAAAAACCAACTTTTTCCGCCCCCAAAAGACGTCACTAGGTACCTGTAAATCATATCCTATAATCCTCCCTCGCAAAGGCCTCCCTCCCAGCCTGCAAGACGGGCTGGTCTGACAGAAAGACGTCGCCCACAGAGCCAGAAAATGATTCGTGAAGTCAGTAGATCCATGCAAGCGTCGCACCAGTGGTTTAACTGAAGCCTCAAGGGTCTGCTCTGAAGCACAGGGTCCGTCTATATCAGCGGGTAAGAGGCATAACTGGCGATCCCGCAATGGTTCGCGTGGTTTCTTGACATGCGGATGTAGCCCTCGTCACCAAAACGCACGCCCCAACTTTTGGGACGGGAAACAGACGGACAGACAGGCAGACAGACAGACGGGAGAAAAATTAAATCCCTTTTTTCTGGAAGCGAAGCGGCCGCTTTATCAACGTCACAGCATCAAAGGGTTTTCATTAACCGCTTCATGGGATTTCTAATGCTGTATTATGGCAAGACTCACCACCGTAAAAGGAACATAAAGCACGTGTAAGTGTATTTGAAGTGCATTTAAAGTTCCTTCACACTTCACAGGATGATATAAAGGTGTTTTGTCATGGCTAGGTGTGAATCCCTAGATTTAAGGGCCGATACCAACTTCCAACTCTGTAACATTGCACAAGCACCCAACTGATCTCCCATCTGTATGAATATTGGTCATTATAAAATTGTGGGGGTGTCGGGTCGAGCAGTGGGAGGTTCTCCAGGAGAAGCCTCTCCCTGTAGACCGTGAGCACACGGAGAACAAGAGTTCAGTGATGTACGGTTGTGCCTTTACCTGTTTTTCACGAGCCAGTAATCCTTATCATTTAGAGTGCCGTAGCCGATGACGAGTACTCCGTGATTCACCTCCTGTGTGCACCGGGGGTCATCGTACACACCTGGGAAAAAAGGAGTTTGGAAGCATGTCACCACACCACAAGACCTCGTCTTTGAGTCAAAGTCAACCTTCAGCCCAAACCACGACAGTCACTAACGCTGCTATCTTAGGTTCTGTCATACTGATACCTTCATCCGGGATTTAAGCCCCAACTTGCCAAATTCCACCAAATTTCATAAGCTTTACGTGCAAGAAAGACACAGAAGACTGTGAAGAAGATCTCCAGGTTGAAAGGACATACCTGACCTGTACAAGAAGAAGGTGGGCTGGGTGGCATCAATGGCGACAGAGACCGGTCCGATGTTGGCTACAGCATCCTTCAGGGCTGCTTCGTCGGCGTGTGGAAGCTCAACGTACTTGGAACAAGTGGCGGCTCGCGTGGAAGCATTGTATTTACATGTCCCATTCTGGTAGGAACAAGAGGAAGTTGAGGAGGAGTGTGAAGAATCCACCAGAAACATCTCCAGACTTTCAGAGAGGAGTTTTCTCTCAGCCCTCTTTCACCCTGTGCTACCCCGTTCTTCACTTGTTTTTTGAGCGCCGTTTTTCTATACGCGGGATTACAGCAAAGACAGCTGGAAGGACCTGAAGAGATCATCTTGTCCGTCTCACTTCCCCACACCAAGAGCAGCCAAACCGTTTCAACAGAATTCTCTGCCTTTTTTTCCAGAAACCTGCGATGACAAGACTTCTACCACGTCCCTAGAGAAGCTGTCCTTGCTTCCTTGTCCTTCCCATCAGAAGGCTCCTCCTCATGTTTAACCTAAATTTCTTCTATTGTAAATGAAGCCCACGGCTTCTCGCTCTCCCTCTGGACGCAGAACAGCGTCTTTTGTCTCTGTAGCTGCCCTGTGTGTGTTTGAAGACCTGTATTCCACTTTTCTGTCTTGGACTGAGCTGCTGTTATTTTGACCTGTTTCCAAAGACTTTGTTTTCAAGACACCAGGTCATTTCAGGGCGTCTCTGGCCATCAAGACTC